ATTACAGAGGGCCGCTGTGAAAGAAAGACTCTGAACTTTCTCTCAGGTACAAGTCAGAGAACTGCTCCAGCCTCCGCGTCCTTGTGGAGCGCCTCGTAAATTTAATGCCGAGTTTGCAGCCGTGGAAAGTTGTTTCTGGCCGGGACACAGTTTTCACTTTACCGTCACATTCTTGTCCTTTGGCTCGAGAAATTCAAAGTAATGTGCAAACTTTGAAGCGTTTGCAGTTTCCTCTTTCCTTCTTCATGAACTGGAGCTAAAATGACAAAAACGATTCAGTGTCACGGAAGTTCATTAAACCAATAAACTCCTTTTAAACAGGTGATCGTCTTGTTTCATTTCTCTGCCAAAAGCTGCAGAATAAGCTCCGACAAACATGCATAAATGAGAGAATGGCAGCTCTCCAGTGCAAGAATGAACCTCAGAGAAATCACATCCTTAATAAGTGTAAACATCAGCCTTATGTGTCGGAGTATAAAAGCTTCGTCACAGCATCGCGCTCATGACACTTGGCCAGGTTTGATAATGACTGTGAAAAATGATGGATAGTATTTAACTGTGCGGGGGCTGATGTGCAGAAATATGAGAAATAATATGAAATATAAGCAGAAATGTCATTCAGAAGAAGTCTTGGTGTCTTGTGTTGTTTCTGTCATTTTAGTCTTAGAGGAGATTAGTTTTTATTTAATCCAAGTTTTAATCCAAACTGTCTCAGTTATTGTGATATTTTAGAGGGATTTTCAGGCGTAAAAGTTAATTTGGAGTCGAACACACCGTAACACCGAGTTAGACCCCCCCTCCAGAGATGAATGTTGTCGACCGCTTGCTTCTCTAGTTATACCAACTTTAGTAACGACCGCAGGATAGCAATACAGAGAGCCACGCGCTCAACCAAAACGCCACTCTATAGCCACAAATAATGCTCAGAACAGCACCTAACTTCATCAACAGGACATATAGGGTCACAGACATAGTACTAGACACCAAACATCTTTTTAACTTTGACTCATTTCTTTAGCAAAGAGACTAAACACAACTCACCTACTCTCTTCCAGCAGCCGCTTGTTTGTAGCGAGACCTCGGCCGAGTCCATTACGGACTACAGCGGGGTGCCGCAGCTCAAGGAAGAACATTTATGATCATTTCTTTATCATTTCCTTGAAGTAATAATCACCATGTTAATCATTTTTCTCTGCAGACATGGCTCTCAACATTAAAAATAAAAAATAAAAAGTCAGATTGAGGTTCAAATTAAAATAAAATGTGGTCACCACTCTTGGTAAAATGAATAAGCTACAGCTAAAATGTAAGTTAAGAGTTTTCTGCGTGTTTAAATTTAGCGATCATCGCGTATTTCCGCCTTCCGGAAACGTCAACGATGTGCACATGCGCAGTCCCTCCTACCAACAAAGGCGCGACCGGAAGAAGGTTACCGAGCGGCGGCGCCGTTACCGTGAATTCACCGCTGTTTGCATTTACATGGGCTGTGTCTCATTTCAGAGACCGCATCGGGATAAACGCGCTTAACGGCGCTTAGCTGAGTGCACTGCCATTTTGCGCCGTTATGTACCCTTCCTGTGTCCCATTTCAGAGACTGCAACCGTCGAACGGCGCATCTGAAGCGTGCGTGAGGTCATCACGCGGCACGAACGGTGTCCCTTTTGGCACAAAATACTAAGCGCGCTTCAAATTCGGTCTCAAAACCACACTACCCCCGCCTCTTTTTCAAGCGTGCATATATGCACGCTTTCGTGCCGTCGGTATCCCAGAATTCTTTGCGTGCCGCTGCACAGCTGCGCATTTCGGGTGAGAGGCTGGACTCGCTTGGAGACGCAGCGCGTCTTCAAAGAAAATACAAGAAATCCAAAACCAGCAGAGAGTCAGCTCAGGCTGTATGAGAGCATGATCTCTGAACTCACTAAAATCTGTAAACCAAACATTTTAGTATTTCGAGATATTTAGTATTTCTTGTATTTTCTTTGAAGACGCGCTGCGTCTCCAAGCGAGTCCAGCCTCCCACCCGAAATGCGAAGCTGTGCAGCGGCACGCAAAGCATTCTGGGATACCGACGGCACGAAAGCGTACATAAATGCACGCTTGAAAAAATGCTAAGCGCGCTTAGCATTTCTTAGCATCTCGTGCCAAACGGAACACCGTTCGCGCCGTCGTGACATCATGCACGCTTCAAATGCGCCGTTCGACGGTGCAGAAGTGCACTTAGCCTGATGCGGTCTCTGAAATGAGACACAGCCATGGACTCTGACTGATTACTTTGTACTAATTTAATAACACCGTTACTTCTACCGGAGTTTTGAAGGACTCTTTTATCGGTAGTTTGGGTCAAACAGCCGCTAACGGCGCCATCTTGAAGAGGGCAGCGGTATCTTAGCACTGAGCAGGTACCTGTTAAAGGGAAAGTTCAGGACCAAAGTGAGTCCGACAGAGAAGCAGTTGGACGAATGAAGTGAAATGAAGTTTGGGAGTTTAGTTTGTTGGAAACACACAGTTTATACTCTACGGACATGGACCAGACCGTCCAGGAGAATGGGAGGTTCGGTTCTAACCCGGACTTTGTGACGTTTCTGGTCCTGATATAAGGAGTCTACTGTAAAATAAAGATCTCCGGACTGAGGACAGCAACAGGTTTAAGGAGGAGATCCTGTCTTCAGTTCTCTTTGTGGACATAAATGGACCCCCTGGACCGAACTCGAGATCCCGGATTAAATCAGAACACGGACTTTTGGGTTCGACGATGACGACGACGACGAGCTGAGTCAGCAAAGGTCAGAGAAACATCTTTTATTTTAACTTTATGAGTTTTATAAATGAAACATTTGCTGTGATTATTGAGGGGAGAGGGATTTACGAGCGTGCATGTGTGTGCAGAGCGCAGTGCGTGTTTATTGCTGTGTTTGTGACATCAGAGGTAATATAGTGATATGTGTGTTAAGTGTGAGTGTATGTAGAGTGTGTACATGCAGTTGTTGTGATGATGGTAATCTGAGTCAGTCTTTAGTATCACACTGAAGCAGTATGTCGCTTTATCGCTTAATTTGCTGTTAAAGACGAACTTCCTGTTTAAGTATAAGAGTTTTCTGCTTTGAACACATGAACTAAACTCCAGACCTGATGGAGGAACATTATCTAAGAAGTGAAGGTTACTGAAGCAGACAGTGAAGTATATGTCATACTTTAAAGTGACTGAATCATAGACTGTAAATAGAATGGACGCCGTCTGCCTCCTCGCTGGGTGAAGCCACTCCGAGAACAGCACCCTCTGGTGACGGGCTGCAGTATAGGTCATAAACCCCGCCTCCCTATGGAGCTGTGGACAAACTTTATAAATGAATGACACAGAATATAAATGTTTTTCTCCCTCCTGGTTGTGATGTTGACATGTAGTTACTGTCAGACTGGTTTGTGCTCAAGTCCTCTTTTTTCTGTACAGCTCCATTTTTAAAAGTTATTAGGGGGTTCATGTTTTCTATGATTGACACTTGATACAGCCTATGGGTGTACGAAGATTGCGTAGCTCACCCGGGGAATACGCTGTTTGAGTCGAGTGTCATCACAGCGACTTTCGGCAACTCTCCAGCCGAATGCGCAGAATGCTACTGTGCATTTTTATTTTGTAAACGTTTTATTATTTGTCGAAATACAAACATTAAGGCACACTAATGATACTTAGAGTTGAACCAGCTTTATAGATGAATAAAAAAGACAAAAGACTTTTAGCGTCTTATTCTAGGATCGTATATAAGTCGAGTAACGAAAACAGTTTTAGGGCATTTTTGTTTTTCATGTAGTTCAAGGTTTTTATTGTATATCCTGAGTTTGGACATACCGAGAGCTTTTCAGCTTCAAATCCGTTTACTGGAAGATGGCGGAACCAAGTTGTACACAGTATAAACCGTCTATGAACTGAATGAGCTTTCTGATGCAGTTAGTCAATAATTCAGACACTTCCTAAAGGAGGCTGCAGGTCACAGAGTGAAGTCTCTGTTCATGATGGAGGTCTCAGAGTTCGATGGTTTGGACCTGAGGATGGCTGTGCATTAAAATCTAAAGCTGTGATATATTGTTTAGTTTAATGTTTGTTTTTTTCTCATCACCAAAGTTCTTCTTTCTTTGTCTCTTTGCATAATGCGTCAAATTTCACCTCACAATTACCGTGTTTCATAATTATTGTTTCATTTCCATAATTTAAAGACGAGCCTCCAAACACAATTAATAGATTACAACCTAATTATTGGTCCGGCCAATCAGAATTTAATTATCTCTCTGCTTTTCTTTTGTTTTAATGCATAAATTAAATGCTTGTGTTATGAATTTACTCAGAGGAGCTTATTTTAAATCGTTTATTATGATTAAATGTTAAAAAGTTTTCTTTTACTGGAAGGAAACTTTTATTTTTCAGGTGCACGGGTTAGTTTTTCCCTCGACTTTGTCTTGCAGGAGCGTCTTTACCACGCTGGCACACAAACAGCTGAGCTGGCACCATCCTGCGTTTTCGGCCCTTAAACTTTACCTCCCGTCTTATTTCTCATTCTCCTTTAGCGGCGCTGCAACATTTTAATGCGCTCCACATCACTTCCAGAGCAATGTCACGGATCATTTCAAGCACATGCCCCTTCCTGTCAACAGAGATCCACAACAAGAGGCTGCTAAACCTTTTATTTTACTGCCGCCGCTGCCGTCTGCTCGCCGTGTCGCCATTAACGAAGCCTATTATTCCGTTTAATGTCACCCTCACCTCGCGCAGGGGGAAGGTTGGGCTGCTGAGCTCACACGGAGGTCAGATAAGCGCCTGTTTGGAGGTGACACCTGTTTCTGCTCACTGAGTTTCAACATTCACGTCGAGGATGCGGCGCTCACTCATGACAGCAGCCCTCAGGAATTTTTAGGGAGGAAGTGGGAGAAGCTGCAGAAGCGGGAGGGAGACACGAGGTTGTAAATCAAGATGGTAGACAAAGGAAACTCACTGAGGAAGCTCTTCACATTCAACCTCCTCTCCGCTCGGAGGACATCTGGAAGGAGTTTTTGTGTCTCTCGAACTTTAGTGTCGTTCTGTCGTCAGGGTTTGACCTCCTCCTCGCAGACTCGACGGTCTCATGAATGAATCTTTTAACTGAACGCTTCCTTGAGGCTTCGCTGCTGGTGTGTGCACATTTAGCACCTCTGCAAAGGCAAGAAATGCAGGAAACACTACGTTGCTGTCTCTATGGTTGACCGTTTGACATATTTTCAGATTCCCAGCATCATAAACTAAAAAATGGTTGAGTGTAAATCCTCTGATGTAGTCCAGGTCCTTTATTTGCTTCCATCTGGAGGTTGTTGTGACTGTAATCTGGTTTGTGTGTTTGCACAGTCAGGTTTAGGCATGCCTGCCAACATTTGGGTTATAAAATCCGCGCACGCCGGGCAGTTTTGGAGTTACCTTGTATGAGAGTATTTGTAATTAAATTGCTCATCTAAATAAGTCTAAGTGAAGCTGCATTATTATTCTTTGAAAAGTCCCACAGCATGTGTTAGACATCACCCTCTACACATGGACCAATCAGGGGCTGCCTTTCCCTGTTGTCCGGGGAACAGTGGAAACAAAGTCAGTGATTGGCCCGGTTATTTTCTGATCGCTAATACACGCTCCCAATGGGCCGAAGTCCAGACTGCTGTGGGAAGGAACATCGCATGAAAGTCGCAAAATCGCATCGGGCTTGATGTGTATAGTCAGGCGCGTCAAAATTCGCCTCTGAATTTTTCGTAATTTCGCGTTCTATATTCGCGTCGGCCCCGGTGTGTAAGGACCTTTGGGCGAAACATACGTGGTCAGCAAAAAGCAGGACTCCCCCATTCACCCTCTCTCCGTTCATTCACAAAACCTGCCAGGTGAACAGCTGACTTCACTACTACCAGTGCTGACGTACCACTTCCACCCCCTCCACACAATACACAAATACTATAAAGGTCAAAGAACTGGCATCTACAGAATGACGTCGGGTATTGTCATAAATTCCGGTATCAGTAAATTTTGAGTTTGTCGCCCAGCCCGAGGTTGAGGTTTGCAAAAATAAAACTAAAGTTCCTCGATGGTGACTGGAACTTTTTGCTCATCTTTGTTTGTTCTCAGAACCAGAAATCCAGTCAGTCTCCTTCTTTATCTATTTATGTTTTGCATGGATCATATCTTCAGTACCTACTTCCACAGAGAAGATACTGCAGCCCACCAGCGATCATTACCTTTAGCACCTCCACCAGATGGTCACCTACAGCGGCGCCTCCCTCCACAGGTGGCGTCACTTTCCCCTTCGCTCCCCTCCGCCCTGCGATCAAACCAACATCTGGTTCCAGCTGCACCGTATACTTGTCTCTGTCCAATAAAACCTGCAGCCCGGACCCCGAGGTCATCGCCTTTATTTGCTGTATTTTTTTTTTTTCAACGGTGAAAATGAGGACAGGAAACAGCAGGCGAGGTTGAGGCCGGCGGAGCAGCGGCGGGGTCGGGCTCAGTCTGACCTCCGGGAACAGCAGCCCCTCGGACCAAGAGGTCACCGCGGCGCTGAGAGATAGAGCCGTCAATCAGAGAGCACAGCCGGGACTGCGCCCTGATATCAGCTGGAGGAGCTCAGGTGAGAATAAATGAGGAGATTTTAGCATTTCAGCTCCTGGAGGTGGGCTTCAACAACTCAGGGATGGAAAAATATCAAGATTTTGTGTAGCAACAGGCTCAGAAACAAAGCCTCATTTTGTACGAAAACACTCATTTTTAATTACAGTGATTTTTTAATTCTCACTGAAAAGGTTTAAATGTGAGGAAACTGCAGCTTTAGTGATGCAAACTTGACTTAAATTCACTGTAAACTGTACAGGATGCTGCAAAGCTGTAATCTCTCCATATTTTCTAACCGCAGTCATGTCAGGTTACCACTCATGCGCCGCTCTCATTGATTAACATGATATATTAAAACCCAGACCATCATCATTCAGGTGTTGTAATTGCACAGCTGCCATATCATTAATTCAAAAATGCCTCAACCTCCTGTTATCCAGGAAATGTGAAGTAAGACGCATGAAAGAGAAATTAAAACTCAAGTTTAGACTGCAGCGTCAAACCTTTCAGCACCGGCTGCATTAATCCGAGGTACGAAAACAAAGACGAAGGCTCCAAAATGTTCAGATTTGAGTCAGCTGGACTAACTTGATGAAAGGTGTGAAATGGAGACAACAGCAGCTGAAGTGAGACCGACTTCAGCGGATTAGAGTAAAATACATTCAGGCGGACGGCCCTTCCTGAAACGCGAGCTTGGTCCGTGTAGTCGGCTGTAAGTCGGACTTGTTTCCAGTGAGACTTGGACTCCGCCAGAGCTGCCCTCTGTCACCGGTTCTGTTCATAATCTTTATGGACAGAATTTCTAGGTCTTGTAGCGTCGTCGAGCAGTGACCTTCAGCTGGGATGCGAATCAGCACCTCCAGGTCTGAGGTTATGGTCCTCAGTCGGAACAAGGTAGATCGCTTTCTCCGGGTTGGAGGGGCGGTCCTACCTCAAGTGGAGGAGTTCAAGTATCTCGGGATCTTGTTCATGAGTGAGGGTAGGATGGAGCAAGAGATCGACAGGGAGATCGGCGCATCGTCAGCAGTGATGCGGACGCTTAACCGATCAGTCGTGGTGAAGAAAGAGCTGAGCCGTAAGGCCAGACTCTCGAGTTACCTGTCGGTCTATGTGGAAGTGGCTGGGGTGAGGGCCGTCTGGGCTTCCCTCCTGAAGCTGCTGCCCCCCGCAGGAACAGGAAGTCAGTGAGCGGTCAGATTCATCTCCAAACTTTATCTTCATCTGCTGTAACAGGGAACAACAGTTTCTTTTAACAAGACTGGAGCTCCTGAAGAGTGTAAACTCTGTCCTGTTGACCTGGGATTGCCGTTAGTGATGCATCAAACTGACCTCCTTACTTGATTTCAATCCTGTTATTATGGTTACCATGGTTTCATATACAGAGATCACTGGATGTCAATGATCTCTGACGCTGGTAATGACCGGAGGAAACATCCCATAATAGTCACACAAACTAAAAGTTTGCTGTGAACTTGAAGCTCTACATCATCGTTTAGTTTAAGGAAGATTCATGTTTGAGGAACCGTCTCTCAGCTCGGGTTTCACCGACTCTGAAATGAGGTCTGTATTTTAAAGTAATGATCTGGACCGTCTCTGACTGTTTTCTGCAGATATTTGACAAACTAATATTGATGCAAGCTGTCTCAACCTCCTGAGGGATTGGACTGTGTGCAGCTTCGAAACACTTAAAGAGTCTGGTCGCTTCCCAAAATCCCCCGAAGACCTGCTCGTGTGAGAAACAGAGAAAACTTCCCGCCAACACGGTGACGCTGCTTCTCTGAGAGGAGGTCAGAGATCCGAACGGTTTTTATTCTCTCTGACACACGGCACACCCTCGCTCTCTGACTAACCCGTCAGACACTCGTGGGTTTCCTCAAACTGAAAGCGTGACATTTGCCTGACTCATCTCTGCGCCGATCCTCACAGATCAGAGTTCCTCCAGGATCTCTCAGAGATGATCAGCTCAGCCGCTCTGAGGCCGGCCGGGGATCCTGCCAACCCCTGACAGCTCAGTGTCCGGATACGGCGGCCATGAAATCCAGGAAGGGGGTTTCATGGCTAAGTGCGGCTAAGCAGAGGAGAGCGGGGCGTGTTAGAGTCATTTCATGGAGCATTTGACCCGGGGAAGTTGGACTTAGTCCTGCAGGAGTCCATGCTTGGAGGATTCGGGCTCCTGAAAGTTGTTTCTCCTGTTCTGTCCTGGAGAATCCGACAGTTTATTAGTACAGTTCGGTTCCTGTTGGACAAGTTTAGTTTTACTGCGCTTTAGATTCACAGACTCATATTTATTGTTTTGGGCTCGGCCACCCTGGCAAGTGTTAGCTTTTCTTCCTCGCTGTGTTTTAGTTTCAGAGCTGGTTGCTTATTTTGTCCTTAAAATACGTTTCCTGTTCATCTCTTCGGTACTTTCTCAGATTAATCCTGGGGGCCATTTTTAACACGAACTTTCTAAACCGGCCCAATCAGGAAGGATCCCATTAAAGAAACCATTAAAATCTCCTCCAAGTCCTACTGCAGAACCAAGTCAGGTGTGCTCGAGTCAGGGTGACCTGAAGTCTGTCCCAATTTTCAAACTACGAGGAGAATCTGTGTCTCAGATTCAGTCAGTCCCTGTCAAGGTTTCAGCTCTAATTCGTCTCGATAAATGTCAACCATGTTGGTGCCAAAGCTCCAGTGAGTAAGCATCTCTAACACCGTTCAAAATTAATTGATCTGATTGTAGGGCTGGTCAATAAACGTATCGGTATGTTCGGTGTCAAATAAATAAATAAATAAATCAAAGTTGTTTTTGGATGTGTGTAGGTAGGCTATGGTCTCATGTCCCTTTAAGACGCTGTCAGAGACGTGACTCCGCCCCATCCAGTCCATAACAAAGAGGGAAAGACAGGTGAGGAGATGGAGAACAGTTCAAAAGTTCGTTATCGAGGTGGACTGATCAATATATCGTGATATTGATTTGAGGACATATCGCTTAGCTCTACCTTGACACACTTAAATCTGCTTTCATGAACGACCTGATCAGAGCGAATCCTCGGTTCATGTTGAATAAACGTGTCGACATCGAAGTGTAGGAGGCTGTTTTTGAGAGAATGCAAATTGGCTGTGAGGGAACGAGTGAATAAATCAGACATTTCAGTGTGTGTGTGTGTGTGTGTGTGTGTGTGTGTACGCCGCACAGCTGACCGCGTCCGCTGAAGTACCTCTCGGAGTTTGCACAGATGCCATTATTTCCTCTCTTCCTCCCACCTGCTGATTGGAGGTGCTGATAAAAAAGGACCAGAGGATGAATCATCTCTTTTTTTTCCTCCTGCAGGTTTCTCTTTCACTTTCTCTTTCAGTTTCTCTTTAAATCAGAAGAAACCAGAAAACCATGAGCTTCTCTTCAAACATGTCATATCAGAGCCGCAGTGCGACGCGTTCTCGTCCTTTTTGGCGCCGATGATGGACTCGTGAGCCACCCGACAGGATGTCATCCTCTTTCTTTGTCCCATCACTCATCTGACGCCTCTGGATGTTAATCACCTCTCACACCTGGCTCACTTTGACCCCGCAGATGGTCCTCGTTGAGGTTTTTTCAGCTACCGAACCCAGATCAGAACCCGAGCGAGCCGCTCCGCTTCCTTCGTGTCGTTGCCAACGAGACGTGTCGGCGCTGCAGAGGGCGGACGGGGAGTGAGTCCTGTGATGGTGCCGGTAGGGATGAAGATTAATGACACGGCCGGGCCTGTGTCTCCTGTTTAATAATGCTTATTCATCACTGTCGCGCACGCCGACAGCTCCTCACTCTGCAAACACGCTAACAGGAGATAACCCACACAAACTTCATTATCCGAATATTTCTCCCTCTTCGTATTCACACGTTTTTTTTTGCGTGTAAAGTCGCATACTCTGTGGTAAAGTATTTCCCCTCGCCGCATTGATCCGGGGTTTATGAAGATTTGCATACACTTCCACAAAACCAGCTTATCTCAGGGCCTCGTGGAGCGCGTGTAAACATCTTTTCTGTGGTTTGAAAGCACGGCGAGCATCCGTACGCCTCGCCGACAGATGAAAGGAGCTGGAAATGAGGAGAAAGGCAGAATGAGGGAAAAATACGGGACCTCTGGCCTTCTACTTCTGTGCGAATGAAAGCCATTTTGTCTTCAGTGTTTCTCCTCCGCCCTCCTCCTCCTCCTCCTCCTCCTCCTCTCTGAGTGTTTCTGAGCTGCGGCTCTTTCGCTCTCTCGTACTTTTGCTGCTAATGGAAAATAAAGACTGGAGAGTGGCCAAGATGGAGCTCACAAATGAAAAACATGGAGTCACTGACCTGAGGCCGAGGCCTGTCCATCCAGGCCCCAAAAGCCTGAAACGGCCCGGCTCCTCTTCTGTTCCCACAGACGTCCACCAGGTCCAGGATGAAGTTGTTGAAGAGGTGTTTAGAGAGGAGGTGAGAGAGGTTTCAGGGCTTCTTCTTCTGCCTGCAGGAACTCTTCTGTCTTACTGCTTTTGAGGTGAATCTCAAGAAGTTCAGCCTCTTTCAGACATGCACAAAGTTCTTGATAATGTACAGTGTGCCTAAGTTGTGTGTCTGTGTCTTTGTTGTCATCCTTGTGTCATCTATTGGCAGTTTTATCGGTGCAGCTCTTAGAGACCAAGACAAATTTCCCCAACCCCAAATTTCCACTGGGTCCAGAATGGCTCCGATCTAGAACGGCAGCGGTTTTGGCCGTCCGCCAATTCCCACCGGATCTGATTGTAATCTGTGCTGAATTTTTTTCGGCATACTCCGGCATCCGGAAAAAATAGAATTCTTGCAATC